GTCAGCTCTTTTCTGTCTTTATTTGATTTGATACTAAACGAAATGTGATAAATTGGCACGTGTCAAAATGAATGAAGATTCTCATAAATTAAAAGTTGGTTGAAATTTTTATCATTTGCTAAATTTTAAGAGTAAGTTAAGGGTACTAAAAGTAATGATATACTAATTCAGAAGTCAAACTACAAAAATCAGCGTTATATTTTCAAATTTTCACAGGATTAGTTTCGATGGTTTCTACCGAACCACCATCCTCAGCTTCAAAATCGCAAATGAACGAGATAGGATATGATTAGACAAGTTAAGAAAGCCATGACAGAAAATAAGCTAGTGACGCTATCTGTTGATTAAACCAGAATTAAAACATAATTTCTTTAAAAGCCGAAGACAAAGATGGATTGGAATTAGGATCGTAACTAGAACAGAAAGATTTTTTTTGAATGTGAAATGCCTCTAGAAAATCCAGTTCTCCAATGCAAGACATTTTTTGAATAATTTTGGCAGCAGAAAAATTGAAACTGTGATTTTCGGACTAACAATGTTGGGCAACAGAAGACTTCTGTGTTTCCTTTTTTCTAACATCGAATGATATACTTCGAGATCTCAAATAAATTAAATTAAAAATACATAATTAAAAAATATATTAAAGTTGGATTGTTCAAGATGACATAGTTATACTTTTATTTAGTGCATCGGCTTTTACATGAGGCTTGCAGCAAATATTTACTTCATGTTTTTTATGGTAATAAGAAAAGCTATCGAGCTTGAGAAAATTTCTAAACAAACCCGAAGGTAATCGTATCTTAAGACGCTGCTTAACAGATAAAATAAAGACCAGAAGCGCACAGAATAGAAGTAATCAAATAGTAGCAATTTTCATGATCTTTCTGTCCTAGATTCTCAAAAATGTCCTGTTATTTATAAATGCAATTAATACTATTTTACTTCATTTCTTGCTGATAACATGTGACTGAGTCCACCGGTATGTCTTCCAGATCTCTTCTCGAAAACTAAACTAAACATCTGTCTACGAGGAATTTCTTAGACTCAACACTCACGAGAAATTAAAGGATTTTGAGAGGAACTTTAGTTTGTGGGTTAGTTTTGTGAAATAAAGACATATTTCACCATTTTCAACGTTAGAATACCTTTAGTAGAAACTTATATTATTATTGGAGAAGAATTATGGAATAACGAATGTTCGCATCTCGAAACTCTGGGGTTACAATTTGAAACTTCTTTTCCGAAATGCAAATATATGCTAATTTTTGTGGATTCTTAATTCTTTCCATAGTGATTTTGAAAGTGAAGCTTATATTTATCGTAAATCATTTCTATTATTATGGTAACAGTATTTGCTTAATTTTAATGCCATTCATTACATGAAATTTCACAAAATAAAATAATTTTGTGCTTCCGTTAAATTCCCTTTCTCGATATTTTTGCTGTCAGAACTAAGATACAGACAGGCTAACAGCATTTATCCTCTTTGTGTCTTAAAGAAGGCAATCCAGTCAATTCTCAAGATGTCTGAGAATCAAAGAAGTATACATATTCGGAATAAGGGTATATTAATAAATTTTATTATTTCGAGAATTGTGTTACACATTCAGCCGAAATTGAGTTTGCATCTCGAAGTAACCCTGCCGCTTTCAAGCGATTAATTGTCCTTCTCTGCTTACATATTGCACCTAAATGTGGTGTAATAAACACTGAAATATACCGAAAATAGTTCTACAACACCACCTATCGCAGCTAGCTATTACATCATTTCCCCCAACATTTTGGCATTAAAAGAACAATTAGCGCGCACATGAGGTTTATTTTTTTATCGTTTATTTTTCCGCAGGCAAAATTTGACACACCAGTTAAGATGCAATAGAAGCCTGAATCTGATATCTGCGTTGCATTGACTTCTACATTTTAATCCTTACTATATCGATAATATATTGATAAGGTCTATCCTCCCATTCTCAAGTATAGTCGCTTCCAGGCTGCAAGAATAAATTCCAGGGCTGTTGAAAGATATTCAGTTTGAATGAAATAATGCAACTAAAGCTATGAGAAATGAATGGAGCCTCCCCGAAAAAAAAAAAGGAAAAAAAAAAAAAAAAGATTTGCTTTATATCAAAATGGGTATAACAAATTACGGAAAATTTTGTTTTTCCTTGATTCTTAAGTAATAGACTTAAACAGTGCTTATTATATCATAGTTTATAACAAATGAATAATACCTGACAGTAATATTTCTGAAAAGCTATCTAACTTATGAGCCGATAAATATCCAATTTATTAATGACATACCAAAATCGCTTAAAAAGTCCTCCACTAAGGCATCCTTAAGTCAGATAGCCCTCGAGTGCTTTGCCGTAATCTAATAAAACCAAACATACCAAAATCACCCACTGTCACCCTAGCTCTCTATGTGCATGGCACAGCCATCCTAGCAAGACACAAACACCTGGACAGATTGGTTCATAATATAACATCTCAAGCCTCGAGCACTGGCTCATTACTTGCAAAATAAAAATTACTGTCGCTAAACGTGATGCTATGATTTTTAAACGAGTTCCCCTCCCATTTACCCTACCATTAGCTTAAAGTACTTTAACGATTATGTTTCTAGACTAATTCTTACAAGTATCTTGGTGTTATACTTGATTCCAAAATAATCTGGCACCTTCAAATTGATAACATGATCAAAAAAGCAAAGGGAGTCAGATCCCAACTTTATCCACTTTTAGCTCGTAACAGCCAACTGTTAATCAAAAACACATCTATTTCTCTATCTCTTCTCTACACTATAAAACACATCTTAAGTACTTAACTCTTACACATCTCTTTTAAGACCTAATATTTTATACGCATGCACTATTTGGGCCACTGCGGCTAAGACTCGTGTGAAAAATCTTCAATCTTTTCAAAGTAATCCTACGTATGATTCTAAATGCACTCTGGTACGTCCGTTCAGATGTGATTCACTCGAATCTGAATATTAAATCCATTGACGTTGAAATTAAAAAACTTAAGAAATCAAATGAAGGAAAAAAATTGCACAGGGAGAGGTGGGGATGGGCTAAAACACGAGTTTTTCGATTCAACCGCCTATAGTCCAAATGTTTATAACAATATAGACAGTTAGAAACTTCAATTGGGCCGCAATATGTCTGCAATTGGGCCTTGGGCCGCGGGTTAGGCATGCCTGCTCTAGGGAAACCCTCTAGGAGAGAAGAGGCGGTTCTTCCCATCACTTTTAAGCAACAGAATTAAGATGATGTTTTACATCTCTTATAAAGTTACATAATGTACCCCATCGAATTTTCCTAAATGTTTAATACATGGTGAGCACAGCACAGTGCGATGCGGTCGAAGGTAGGACTTAGAAGTAAAAGTAGATGTAACAATAATTTCATATCTCAAATCTGTTTTGAAAATAATAAAGAGCTGCAAATTTAGTTTGTATGAACCTTCAAACTACTTTTATAATAGAAATTCTGTTCATATGAGGTATTTTAACCAGTTATACAAAGAGTAACACCGAATAATGTTTTCTATCCTTACTCAATATTCATCTACGGAGTGTAAAGTTGTGACATAGACTAAAGAAGGAGCTGAAGCTTCAACTGTCATTTTGCCTAGACCAATCAGTGCACATTTTGTCAGTGCAGTAATAAAGGGAGCACTGGTGATTTGGTGCATCACTTTAACGTAACGTATCACCTGGGATATAATTTAATTAACACCAGTTTTGATTGTATAATGTTAAGAAGACAGGATTGTTCGGCACCGCGATATAAAATTAATTATTTCTCTAGAGCTAAGCTTCGATTTCAAATATTGAACCGTCTTGTGTGGCCAAATGAAAGACCTATTTTAATTATGCAGGTGTCCATACAAGAGCCTTTGAAAAACACATATTATGTCCTAGACGCAGATTTTAATTCGTAATTACTTACTTAATTATTCGAAGAAAACTTTTAATGTAATTTTCTTTGTGATATGTTGTAGGTAAAAAGTAATTAAGTGTCCAAAAATAGGTAAAAAGTAAACTGTAGAAATTGATAGTTCATATAACATTGCAGATCAAAATTAGCGCTTAGAAGAAGTAAAATTGCGTTACTTCGGGCATTCGTTTAATAATATTGGAATCCAGAAAATATAGAAGATGTCTTTCTATTGGTTCTGCATGTTTTTAGTTAAGATTATTTTTAACTAATTTTGAAAAATTTTAAATTATCAATATTAATTTGTCACTATTAAGTAAACTGAACTATGAACGTTTTATACACACCCGTTTTAGTACAGTTATTTAAATCTTGTTACTGAACTTATGATTTATTAAAAAAAATAAAGTTGAGTCTTTTTTTCAGCAAATGAGATGTTTTCGCTAAAGGGAGCTATGTTTTTTTTTTTTACCATTGCGATATTTCTCCATGGGATGGTCTAGGAATACTTGATATGGAAAGTGATGCTGAGAAGTAAATTTTGAGTAATAATTTATACATAAGGCAAACTTTGTGCAAAAATTTATGCACTGCTTATAGCTTTATTTGCAAACTTGTCTAGAGAATTTAAATCCCACTGAAGCTTCTCGTCATTAGGAATCATCATTTCAATAACTATTGTCAGCTGTTAATTAAAATGACAAAATTTGCAAGTAAAATAAAAGTACAAAGTCTGTAGGCAAAGTCTAGAAACTTCTGTTCGAAATCTCAATTTATGTTTGAGAAAAATGAATAATAATTTCATGCTGCTATTTAATTAGGTTGATTTGTAAATCATTCCGTTTGTCATTAAATAAATTTTCAAATAAAACGTAACTCGGTTTTATTTCTAGCTTTACTTTATTTTACGTAACAGTTTCCCAAACTCTCAGTTTGTAAATCGCAAATATCAATTGGAAAAACGTTCTAACGTTGGTTTTAATTTTCGAATTAATTCTGTAATTTCTCTGGGTGTGGTAAGTGGGTTGGTCTGATTCTTGAAACTTTCTAACTGCTGAGTCACGTGATCAATGACTGCCGAATCATTAGCGTTAAAAAATGATTGACAGTGAATTGATTTTCATAAGATTTGGCAAAAGCGTTTGCAATATCTTTTGGATTAATTAGAACTTTATTATTGTAATTAATAGGTTTTATTTCATCTTTATTTCTTGTAATAGCTTTAGCAATTTTGCACACGGAGTAACTGATATGTGACAGACTGTTAATGAAGATGTTCCAGCTGTCGTCTTTATATTCTTTGATGAGTTTTTTAACTGTTCTGTTAGCTTGATTGAAATTTCGTTTATCGATGGGGTCTAAAGTTCTATGATAAATTTTTCGAAGCCTGTTCTTTTCTTTAATCTTGTTAAGGATGTACACAGGGAGAGTGAATTTTTCTGGATGAATGGTCCGATTTAGATTTATTGAGTGCTTCGTGCATGCTATGGGTGTGAATTTGTCAATTGTATCTTCGATATCTTGGGGAGAGTTTAGATTTCGATTAATAACTGTGTTCTCTTGCATAATATAACTGAAGTCTTCCCAGTTGATCTTGCTATTTACAGGTGGTAGTCCGTAGCTTAACCCGTAAAGGGTAAAACGTACAGGAAAGTGATCAGAGGATAAAACATTATCGGTGAAAAGATACGGTTGCTGGTTAATATTGGCGGTAATAAGAATATCCAGTGTGTCTTTGCAGCCATAAGCTGAAGAGATAAAAGTAGGATCATCAGGTGCATGAATGTTCATATCCTTAAATTGGCAGTAATTATATAGAGTAATGCCGTCCGAGTTATTAGTTCTGGAGTTCCAGATGGTATTTTTGCAGTTGAAGTCTCCAGCTATTAGTGTGGGTAATCCTAAGTTAACTATTGCATCCAGGTCTTGGGTATTGAGATGTGATTGCGGAGGTTTATAAACATAAACTATTAAATAATTGCAGTTGCTGCAGGGTAAGATACAAGCACAAGCCTCTATGCTATTAAAAGCAGGGAGAGGGTATGCGTAACTTTTTAGAGAGCTTTTTATTGCAATTGCGGTTCCACCGCCTCCGTTATGAAGTCTGTCAGCTCTATAAATATCGTAATTAGGAATTTTTAGTTTATGTGTACAGCGTAAATGCGTTTCATTAAGCATAACTACGTCTAAATTATTATTAGAAATATAATCTCTGAGTTCTAGTAGTTGGTGGTAAATTCCGTTGCAATTGTAGAACATAAATTTTGCGTAAGAAATCTGTTTTAAATTATTGGTATATTTATTTCGGTTGTAATTAATCATGTTCGTGATTAATGAAAAGCCTTACAGCCTCGAGGGCGATGTTCAATCTGCTTGAAGAATCTTTTGCTCTTTTACTTTGTAGATACATTGAATTCGTCAAAACTTTCTTCTTTAACTTCATTATTCTTAAAATTATTAGTAGTATTTTTAGTAAAAATATTTTTTTTTGTTGTTGTTTTGAGAGGCTGCAGCAGCAGCGGCGTAGGATTGATCTCTGAGGAGTCGTGCTATTTCCTGATTTGTTGTCAGTAACTGTAGTGCGATTTTGGTCAATTTTTGGAATTAAATCTTGGTTTTTGTTGGTATTAGAATTTTTAAATTTATTATCATCGATCCCTGGCCTCTTGGGACATTCCTCGCTGCATGATCCATGACATAGGATACATGTAGGAACAAAATCTTTCTTAAGTCTGTTTGGGCATTCTTTAGATTTGTGAGATTCAAGACATCTCACGCATCTTGGCGGGTTATGGCAGGCTCTTTGAGAGTGACCGTACCTCTGGCAGTTAAAAACACTGCGTAGGTCCCGGTCTACTCTTATAACCTCTTATTCTGACAAACATATCCATAATTTTCCTGACGTGAAATATCTTTTTACCCTCGTCTGTCCTGGGCGCTTCAGCGTAGAAAACAGGGAGGAATACAGTGGCGCCATCTCTGGTCCGTTGTAGTTGTCTAACTTTAATAACTGGAATTTGTTGTGATTTGAGATCTTCTTTTACTTCGTCTGCTGTTATGTCATCAGATAATCCTTTTATTATGGCGCGAACGCATTTATCAGAATTTAAAAAATAAGTGTGGAATGGTATAGTTTCTGTTTTAAGGCAATCCTGTATTTTCCTGTAATCGTCTGAGTGGTAAACTTTTAAGACTAAATTGTCTTCTTCTTTTTTGACATCTACTTTTTCTACTTTTAAAACTTCCTTAATTAGTTTGCGTAAATCTTTTCAATTTAAAGTTTTTTGTAATTACTAGTGGTGGGATTTTCCCGGCATATTTACTTGGTTTTACAAAAGGCGCATCATTAGTGTCAGCCTCATCCATTTTTTCATTTTCTGTGGGGTTGTCAAGATTTTCATCTATGCTTAGTGCATTAAATTGATTGCTAAGCTGTGTAGGAGGGAGGTTATCATCTGAGTCAGATAGCTTTCTCGCTACTTTTATTTCGAGGTGCTGGAGTCCATTTATCTTTTTCGCCATTAATTATTGGTACATTTTTAGTAAATAGCATCCATTGCAGCTTGCTTATTTGCGAGAAGCGTAAGAACTAAGGTTTCAGATTGAGTGCATTGGGATTCTAAACTTTTTAACATTTTAGTTTCCTCTTCCGAGGAGTTCTCAGGGAATTAAGATTTCAAAATTTCCATATCCTTTCTAAGATTGTAAAGCGTTTCCATTTCTTTAAAATAGTCCATGTCCACAGCCATGTCGTCAATTGTTAGGTAAGCAAAAAAAAAAAAAAAAAAAAAAAGTCGTAAAGAAAATCAAGAGTCAGTAGATCGTAAATACCCTTTCGCTAGCGTATAACAATAAGAAGCAAAAGAACGTACTCACTCAATATTCAAGTAGAACAGCCGTTATCCAACGTCATATTCTCATCATATTATAACTCAGAAATCTCATATTATGACTAACGCAGTTTCATTTTAGAAGTTAGTTTGTTCTTCCGACTAACTGGACTAAAAAAAGTGGTAGTCAATAATTTCGCAATATTTCATGTTTTAAGTGTTTGATGCTAAAAACCATTACTTCTCCGAATCGCAATTTGTTCTGAAAACTTCGATTTCATTATTTTTCATCAAAACTGAAAATCCATATATTGACTCAATGAATAAATTTATCCAGTTTTGCATTCACAAAACAGTGCAAGTTTGCTTCTCTTCCGTTAAATATTAAAAATTAAAATATTATGTCTTATATGTTATGTATTAGTTGAAAGTTAAAATTCAAGGTTAGAAGAAACAAAATATCGTATTCTAGAAAATGTTTTTAAGAGGAATTTGAAAATAAAAACATAAGGAACTGTTAAATTTAAGAAAAAAAGTTAAATGTATATGCAAACATTAAAATACATTGACATATTTAGGGATACCTTAATCTCAGAAATACGAAAATGCAAAATATTTTATTTATGTATTAAAGCTTCAAATCGACTGAATCTGAACTGTGTCAAGAGGTAATAACATAAAACATTAAAATTCGGACAAATAAGATGTTCTAACCACAAATTTCGTTCCACGTGACATTTAAGTATCACCTGGCCAACAAATTTAAAAATAAAAATATATTAATAGTAATATAAAAATGAAAAATAATAAGAGAAACGTAAATAATAATATATACATATTTTATAACACCAAAAGAGCCAAAACATTAAGACTACCTACTCAATAATGCATTGCGCGTCCTTTGCCTTACAAATTAGTTGCAACGCCTTGCCACGGATATCATATTTTTGGTAGTTGCCTAGAAGCAGGTTATACCAAATGTTTAAGCAGCGGTCAAGCAAAATTGAGAAATTTCGACATGTGGGTGTTTGTTTGGGCTCTGAGCTGCCGCTGCATGACATCCGAAATGGGCTTTATCGTGTTAAGATCGGGTGAGTTATGTGGCCAGGACATTTGTTGAAATTGATCCTTGGGCTTCTCGAACCACTCCAACAGAAGTCAAGCCCTGTGACACGGATCGACGTCCTGCTGGAAGATTCCATTTCCCGTTGGGAGATCAGACGCCATGTAAGGATGCAAAGCATCTCCAATTATGTTCAGAAAGTCCGCAGCTTTCATGGTCTGCGCTACCATAACTAAGAGTCGCCCATGAGGATGTCCCCAAAAGCATAAGTTCGCCACCACCATCAGATGTATGACCTGCTGCAAAAGAGAACAGCTGTTCGCTTAAAAGACGGCGTACACTAATAAGACCATCGACGTGATGAATGAGAAATCGTGATTCTTCCGTCTAGGCAACTGTTTTCCACCTATCCATAGACTATATTCCCGAGCCACCAGTAGGCGGGGTTTGCAACGACGTTTCCTCAAGCGACAGAAGTCGACGTCTGCTGCGCTGTCCCACAAACAACACTGTCCTCTGAACTGTGTCTCCCGAAACACATATACCTGCATTTTATTGGGTTGTCAGCAGAGACATCGTCTGCCGCCCATTTTGCTGTACCAACCGAGACAGCCTCCGAGTTCCTTTTTCTTTGGTGATGCATGGACGTCTAACACCTTATGTCTACTGCAGGTTTCGCTGACATTTTTTATCCACTTTGCATAAATACTAACAACGGCAGAGAGTGAGGAACTTATCAGTGGTTCAATTTCGAATAACATGTATAATGTAACATGAAAAATTAAAGAGGTTTTGCTTTCCCAGAAAAAAAAAAAAGAAAGAAAGAATACAAGGGCAATTCTATTTAATAACTGGGTAAACGGCTATCTCGCTAGTTTGGCTAGCTATCGCCAAACTGACGATGCTTAGGGGACTCATTTTTGCCTCTAAATTTGGTGATGAAGTCTCCAAATTAAGTGACATTTTTGTCTTGTCCTTGTATAAATGTAATGGGTATTGTAATTAAATAAATGCAGCTAATCGATTTATTCAACTGTAACCGTAACAGACCTTTAGCAGTAATCTTAAGTGTATATGCTTTCCAATAATTCCTATAACTCCTAGAGATTTCACGGCGGTTTAATTTAATTTTCCAAAATTTGCACCAGGTAACAATTATCTCGAACTTGGACTTATTACTAACTTGGAATCTTAGTTTCTCGATTGCGTTCTTTGGGTTTGTAGAGTTCGTGATGATTACGGTGACGTCGGCATATTTTAAATATTAGAAGAGAAGGGCTTTGGCATGTCATTAACGAAAATATTAAAACTTTTTGGTGAAATTACTGATCCTTTAAAAATAACTTTTTTTACTTGAGAGAACATCACCACAGCGCACTTGAAAGGTTCTTCTTTTTAAGTAGGAAGTAATAAGCTTGAGGAAGAGGAAATATTATTAAGGTAAAAAGCTATAATATAAAATTAAAATTAAAATATAAAGCTTGTAAATTAAGCCGGCATGCCACACTCGATCGAAAGCCTTTTCGAAATCGAAGGTAGCATGCGGTGACTGCTTTTTTCTTCTGGAATTCATTAGCAATATTTTCAGTAAGGTTTAAAATCTGAGTAGTAGAAATGTCCTGTTCTAAAAGCGAAGTGATGATCGTCAATAAGTTCGAGCCGTTCGTTAAATCTTGCGCTGATACTTTTTACAAACACTTTACTGATGGCCGGTAATAAACTAATCGGACGATAGCTGGACACTTCCTTTGGATTTTTGCCAGGCCTGAGAAGCATTATTATCACAGAATGTTTCCATTGTTGGGGAAAATGCGAAATCCTAATACATCCTTTGAAAATGTTGCAAAGGAGCACAATTTCTGGGAAGAGCCTTAAGGGCTGCGTCATTAATGTTGTCATAGCCTTTTGCTTTTTTCTTCTTTAAATGTTTGATAATTTCTCTAACTTCTCTTGGGGAAGTAAATTTGATATAGTCTCTGTTATTTCTAATTTTGATCAGGTCGACTGCGTTGTTTACTTCTTGTTCATGTTCAGAATTTTCTTCATCATGCTTTTCGAATGTTCTGCTGAGATTATCGGCCATTGCTTCAGCAATCTCGATCTCGGAGTACATCATCTATCCGCGTAATTAATTGGGTGGAGGTGATAATTTTGCTGTCAACGGAATGGACTTGCAATTTTCCACACTATATTTCCACACTATATTTGGATGGACTTCCGTGTTTTCTAGGATATTATCCAATACACAGGTGCTATATTTCTTGAATAGAAATCTTAATATCATT